CGACGAATTTTATTATTTTTTTCTGTTCGCAATTGAAGAAGGAACTAAAATTATTTCTAAAACCTAAATTCCCATTTAGTCCAAATATAAAGTCAATGTGTTCACTGTTTAATACTAAAAAGCAATCAGTTTTAAGAAAACTGTGTTTATTTATTAAGTGTATTAATAAAAAAAAGTCAGTCCCTCCGTGTAAATGTATACACATAAGCATCGTACTGATTTATTTCTATTTAGTTCAACCTTTTATTATACATGTTACTAAACATGTATGCCATCATAAGTTTGCACTTCATTTTACAAATATCGTACTGCATTTGTTTACCTCAAATATTGTATTTGTATTTATATTGTATGTTTCTCTATAAACTTGAATCTAGTTGTTAGAGAATAAAGTATCTATCCATCTACCAAACGGAATTATTATTATGCATACGCATACTCAAGATATAAGCGTTGACTAATACTGTAAAAAGTAGGTTTAAATCTTAAACAATATGTTATTAACCGTGGCATTCGTGACTGAAAATTGTTTTTAGCGACACACGTTCTAGTACTGGTTAACAATAATACAAAATCATCACTGAAGTCAATAATCATCGCCCACATTCAAATCATATAGATTTTTATAGTATTGACCTTAAAACAATATGTTATCTACTTTGTCTATACACACATACATTTGTAATTCGAATAATTCAGTCCCTCCCCTTGATCTATCTCTCCTACTTGCGAACGCTAAAAACTCTTCACGGATCCTGGATTTTAGTGTCTTCTAGGAGAGGTGACTAATCAGCAGTCAGTTCTATTTATCTAGATAGGTAAATCCCGAGCTAAATCTGATTGATTGATTAAAGATTTTTCACTGTTGATGCATTCGGGCATTAATGAAGCAATCGTAGATCAGCGAAATACAAAGACTGAATTATTCGGGTTAATATACATATGGAATAGAAGATAATTCTTAAACTCAGGTATTGGCATTTGAACAGCTGTTACAGAGATAGATGTATAACATAATTGTACCACGTTATAAAAAGTGTTTATCTTTACATATTTTAAATACTGATGAATGCTCGAATTCAGAACTGAAAAACTATCATAATCATGAGATAAGTTAAACTAAGATAGCATTTCAGATTGAGATGATTCCGAATTCCGTTACTTCATACTTTCACCTTTCCAATAATCTTGAGTGTTTAACTGACGATTTCGGGATATGGTTTTTTTTGTCGAACCTTAAGAGGAATTTGTTGTAATACTAAAAAAACCGACACGGATAAAAATAATAAACAATGTCAAAATGTTCAGGCATTTATTATATCTTTATTTGAGTAAGTTGATACAATCATACGATCTGTATGTATTGTGTCTTATACTACATGTTTTAGAGACAAATACAGTTTAACTACTATATTAAACACGTTTATTATGAGCTATGAAAATCAAGTAGTTTTTCTGAGAAGGATTAAAAAGACTTCAAATAAATATACTGTACTCTGGGTTAGCATTCGTTAACTGTCACTATCCTACAGATTTACAACTGTTGGTTATATCAGAAATTTAGAATCAGCATAACAGCCAGCACTTCGCTTCTGGTGTATATAATACATAGATTGGTTTTTGTTTAAGAAATTTGCTGTTGAAAGTTTTTGATATCGTTCCCTTTGAAGGATATATCTCCCTCATGCATAGTTCGTTTGATTTTTGTTTGTCATTTCGGAGCCTTTACTAGCTTACTTTACGGTATTGTCTTGTTCATTGTAAAATGCTATATAGTAACCTATAGTTAATAATCGTGTCTAGTGGAGAACTATCTCATTGGCAATCGTAACACATCTTTATCAACTCTTACTTTCACTTCCATCCTTTTATGAACTATTCAACGTTTTTATTGCTTTGTGTATTATCATATTTTTTAACTCGAGCATCGCTGACGAATATGATGAATTCTAAAATAGTTTCATTAATAAAATGGCAAGTTTGATATCCCTGTCTATAAAACATAACGTTAATCATTTAGTATTTTGCTCTTTCTCCTGCTTTTATCGGTAATCTCAACCATAAACAACATATTACAGCTGATGTCAATAAGTTTGTTTGTTATTCCTTATTTCACTCAAATCTAGAAGTAGTGAACATTCAAATTTTTGGATCAATACATTTAAGTTGTCAGTCGCAAATTGGTAAGGACGAGACAATTCAAGGTGACACAAGGGAAGCCCGTGAATTATATTAGGAGCTAAACCTGCCTGAACCGACACAGTAAGCGTTTCATACATGGCAAATATACACACAGTAAAGGTATCACAATCGGGAATAGTACACACTCGGTTAAATTACAGATTAGGTAACCTACTGGTTCATAGATTCTTGTTAGAAGCGTCCATGTGTCAATATCGATGACAAAGTACATATTATTTTTTAACTTTCAAGAGAATAAGGCAGATAACACCAAAATAAAGTAAAACTGACTCGTTTGATTTTACATCCAAGTCACAATGTATAAAAAGTTAACCAAGTAACAATGTATACACAGTTAACGTTTTCCCTGTTGATCCAGAAAAGCGCTTCGGACACATGCAATTATTTAGCGTGTTGTTTTAGTTTTCAACAATTGTAAGTCAAAGTACGGCCTTCAACACGCATATCATAGTACTCAATTGTGACAGAAACCTAAGAAAATAATGACACTGATGTACATAGTCAACACAGCGTACACAAACAAAACACTCGTAACACTGTAGGCACGCACTTTATTTGCAATTTGTGGTTAAGTTCAACGTTTGAAAAGATGGTGCACTGCACTTTGAAAATATTGGAAGGGAAAATGACATTTTTGTATTCATTATGAAATGTATGAACTTTTGTTATTTGTTCCTGTGGGGATAAATCAGTACAAATATATGCTTGTACAAATGTATATTTTCATGATATATGTCACATATGAGGGAATAATAAACACAACAGAAGAGAAGACTAAACTATCGGAGAAACCGGGTAATTTTGTCTTCCAGCATCATTTATCTATGACCTATATGAACAGCATCATGACATATTCAGCAAAGGAAATAAAACAGACAGATTGTGGTACATGTTTTTCAGAGAAATAAAGCATGTAAAATCTATAACCGTTTTTGGACATCTGGCTGATCATCTGATATATAAGTTATATGGAATACATTACCAAAGTCATGACATGTTCAATATAATAAAACAGAATCCATCGATAAGTAAGAACTATTTATTCATTTGACAAAAACTGTTTCTAATTTTTCATATCAGTAGAACATCTTGAAATATTGTCTGGCTATGTTTAACCATTTATCAAACAAATATAAAGGTAATGCGAAAGTGATATATGTTGCAATCATTTTCTTTTTTTGTGAATATTAATAAGAAAATCGTCTATAATGTTATAATTATACAGTTTATATGAAAACAAAAATAGTGACGCATATTGATTTATTTGTTATTTGTGCTCGGAAATTGTGTATTGAGAAAAAGCAAATGTTATAATAGTATAGCTGTTCTGTCTAAATTAACTTCTACACGTATGATACATCCAATTGATAAATTAAACTATACACATACGAATCCTTTTTTTTATAGTTTTTTTGCCGGTTTTTGTACTCAATCCGTAATGTCTGGTGGTTAATTCTGGGTACTCTGACTTCCTCCCGATGATATTGGAAAGGTCGCAGAAAACCTCTTTACAAACATCTATGGGTAACTTATTCTTAAATGATTTTAACAACCTGACCCTTTCTCTTATAAAAGAGTTGTATATGATAATACTGCAGTTTTTTACCAGAGAGTGATAACAAATATCACTGTCATTGTATTAATATTTGCATAACAAAAATCTTGGTGTAATATCCTACTTAAATATGTTTACAAAAATAAAACATTACACATCTATAATATGTTACAGTTTCTTGAATGATTACACAGAGTGATTAGTGAAAACATTATTAATTACAAATATTTTCCACTGAATAATAAAAAAAAAAAGATAAATTGTTCATACCTATGAAATGATAAAGCGTGAAAATTATTTAAAAGATGCTTAAGGTCATTACTATAGATAGGTTGGAGACAAACATATCACTATTGACGATAGCGAAATGTAAGAAACGATTTCCTGATTAAAATAACGCAGGCGATTAATTCAAATGAAATTGCATGTACTTAGGAAAAAATGTGTCAACAAAGTAACTATTATCATTTGTTTTTAAATTGTGCAATAAAAATTATAATCAATACATGCAAAGAAAAAAAGGTATTATTTAGAATATTATATATGACCCTGAGTCAAATTATCATGTATTACGCCATTATTTGAAAATCACTTATATACGGATATCAACAAATGAGAATGCGTACTGTTTAACCTTTATGTATAGCTAAATTCGGCACATATACAAACATTTGACCTTGGAAAGGATAACATCTAACTTGCAGTTTTGTAAAATTGGTGATATTAGTGTATTAAGTTATCACTCTAAGCCAATATCTTATCATATTAGATTGAATATTAATCATAATGAGATATAGTGTATTTCGGAACTCAGGTGTGTACATTTGATTATTTTACCTGCTTTAATTGAATATTCATAAAGGTGAGATACTATGTACGTCGGACATTTAAATATCTATAGATAGTGCACATTTAAAAGTAAAGAAACACTTTAAAAACTTACTTACACATTTTGTATTTTGAATCAGATTCAATTCAAACCTGTACATTTTCATCGATAAATATCCTTCTAATCTTGTGCGTAGAAAAGTTTGAAAAATCTAGCAATTTCCGTAACTTCAAAACCTGTCCGATGTCGACTATTTATTAGACATGACCTGTGTCAAGGCCAATTAAAAGAAAACAACCAAAATGGCACAATCCGCATCGAAGTCCTGCGACATCTGTATGAGTGGACCAGGGCAAAACTATTGTGAACAATGCGATCAATGGATGTGCGAAATTGTAAAACTTTACATTTAAGGTCAAAAATGTGCAGAAATCATACCATTCTTAGTGGGTCAAATATCAACCCGGAAGAAAAACTGTTTTGCAAAGAACACTACGAAAACTTCATATTTTACTGCATAGATTGTGACATGCCAATATGCAAAATCTGCAGCGTCAAAAAACATAAAAAGCATGATATGTCTGAAATCAACGAATCTTCACAGGAATTACAGGCTGAAGTGAAAAGGGTCATTGACTCGAAGATAAAATCCGTCAAAACAAATCTAGGTGAAATTGAACAAGTCACGGGAAAGTACCAGAGCGACATAAAAGAAGCTATTCGTGTTATTACAGAAGATGGGAAACAAATGAAGCAGTGGATTGACAAGAAAGTACAAGCCCTCATTGCATCATTGAAAGGAAAAGAGACAGCAAACCAGAAGGTCTTTCAATCAATTAGAACTGGGTTTCAAAATGATTTCGAAAAGTTCCAGAAATGTCAGACTGCCTTTACTGAGAGCCAGAAAGTTGCCGATGCTACTAAGCTTCTGACACATTTGAAAAAAATTAAATCCGAATTAGAAGTTGAAAGTGAAAAGCAGCCACCGATCATGCCGACTATGAAATATAACAAAAAGAATATAACAGAACGAGACATATTCAATCTTTTTGGAGACACATCGTTCAAGTAAGTTATTAACTCTAGACCAGTGTTGTTTTGTGAATTGTTTGTTGTCACCTATTCAGGTGATTTTTGATATATCAATGAATAACTGTTGTATTAAATTAAAATGTTTTGGTTAAACTTATACATTTGAAAATCTTGTCTTGTCGTGACACATTTACCGTTGTATGCAAATGCATTATATGTTATATGCAGATGAACTAGAGGTAACACGTAAGGCCCACGTACAATTTCATCAAGTGATAAATTAGGCAATTACACAAATAGGTAGTTACACGTATCGTGATACACACCAATCTGATTAAAATATCGATCCTGGGTCCACGCTTTGCTTAGAATGATCAGACAACACTATGTTGTACTTTCTGTTCTAGTAGTAATAAGTACATATTAAGTCAACTGAATATATGCATCAACATTTTTCAAGGTGTGAATCATTAACAAAAATCACAGGATCCTCGAAGGTCTTTAAATCAGATATTAAACGTTGCTTTGTCAGATCTTTGTAAATGAAGGGTGGACACATTATCAGTGTTTTAATCATTTAGAACACAGACGTACGGAAAGTCATGTAAATACAAAACACTAATATAAGAGGCATGAAGATACACGCATGAATCTGTGTAAATAAGAAACACAAATGCACACCAATGAAAACATTGTACAAAACATTTGTTTTTATAATTTTGAATGTAATTTTTAACTATCTTAAACAAAATATGTAATCAAATTTTCATTTTCAAAGGAAATAAGTAAGAATACAGTAAAATAACTGCATTCGAAATTTTGCAAACAAGATTTCAATCATTCATTAAACTTAATGTTATATCTATATATTTTTAAATCTTCAAGTTTAATATGTTTGATCTGAAGATCACTTTATTTTACAATGTAAACATATACAAAAATAGAATTTTTCGCCTCCGATAGGCTGTACATATACACAAGTATAAAAAAGAACATGACTCATCTTTAAACTGACAAGCTGTTCACGATACATTAAAGATACACCTAAACTTATCAAATTGTTAATGCACACTCTGTACACGGTATACCAAAAGCGTACGAGAACACAGCACACGATTAATGCATAAGCTAACGAACATAGTGTACAGTGTAAACAAATACTGAACAGTTAACACACTTGTTGCGCAAGGTATTCAAAAGAAGCACGAAAACGCAGCATATATGGCGTACAAGAACACAGTCGCTAGTAAACGAACACGCTGTATATGACACAATAAGGTCAAACACAAGCAAAATGTATATGGAACATCATGAACATGGTAAACGCAAATGCAGTACACAGGAAATAATTTTGAAAAATCTCTACGGTTTGCATAATGGTTATTAGCGTAAGATTAAATGCATTTTGATTCTACACCATGAACTCATGTAGCTGTTGTACGAGGATAAATATGAGTACCGATAAATATTTGCTTTTCAGAGAAATAGTATACAGTGTAGAGCAGACGTCAAAGAAAGAGATCAGGTATTTCCCTTATATTTATAAGATACACCCTAATTTAATAAACAAAAGAGTCCTTTTATCATGTGTTTAGTTTTGGAATATCACAATAAACTTTGAACAACATATTGAACGTAAGAATGCATTTCAATATGCAATTGACGAAATCTCTAAACTGATGTTGGGATCATACATAAAGTGTCATTTTCAGTTGTTTGCATTAATCTAATAAATTGAGCAACATGAAACTCCACCATATATAATTCGGGACGAAGCAATATTCATTGTGGGTGCTAGCAGTTTCTCTTCCACAAGTGATATCAGTCATATTATGACTGAGAAATAACTATAACAAATAACATGTATAAATGCGTCACTAAATACAACATTCAAATTCAGAAGAAATTCATGTTTTATAATAATTATTTCATATTTATATCTTGCGGTTCAGCGTGATGGTATAGGGGGCTAATTCAATACATATATGAAAGTGGTTGTTTGTAAATTATATCCATATTTGTGTGTACGCTTATTAAAATACTTTCATTCGAACATAGTAGAACAGGCACTTCTTACGGAGACATTAGCTCACTAAAGATTGATAGAGTTTCTGATGCTTAGTCATATACTTTTGGGGTAGAATTTTTGTTAAATGTTGTTTGGCATTTCTTTTTTTTTTTCTTGTATCATCTGTTCCTTTTCGATTGATTTATTATGATTGCACCATTCATACATATTTACTTTTCCGTAAAACGTAAAATATAAGATTTGTGAACCAGTCTACTATGGTATTTATTTTACAAAATGTTACATCCCCTTACATAATTAAGAACAAAAATATCAGTTTTAAATCGAAACAAACAATATATCATTAAATTTGAAAAAAACCAACACAAAACACAACAAAAAAACCCATAAAAAAAAAAAGAAAAGCAAACAGAAAAACTTTAAAAAAGCACACACAAACAAAACAAACTTTATTATTTCGTCTATAATGGAGAACCAGAAACTCTATTATTTGAGATATGCATCTTCAGAGAGGTTTTCAAGGAAAATTTTAAAAGACATAAGTTTGGCAATATTTCTTGTAATCTTTTTTCGTTAAATATTGTATTTAATGAGCACAATTTTCTTACTTTTGACAAAATTCATTTTTATATACCAAAGATACAAAATAGAATATGTTTGATATGCAAAGGCAGTTCAATATTTTCAAAATTTCAAAACAATCAAATGTTTTATTAGAAACCAAAAACTGCAGACCGTATGACAACTCCAAAACTTCTCTTTGCAGTATTGTCATATATATTACTATTGTTTATCTTCATCTTATAAAGTACTGTATTAGTTATTTAATTTTCTATGGATAATTCTATATTGGAACCAGCAAAACTAAATGCTTCTAGTATGTTTTGTTCATTAAGTGTTTATTTTTTCCATTTATTACCAGTCATATTAATATAATACATAAGATATTTTTTTCTCTTTTTCATTGTAGCAAATGTAACATTTTTCTCATTCAATAAGTCATACATGTCCTTTTAACCTTTCTATGATTCGAAGCAAATACTTGCATTGAACAGAAGCATTTTCTCATTTAAATCGATTTTGATACCTTAAAACCACTCTATAAGCGAAAATGTGATTCAATAAAAAAATGTTTTAAATTGGTCTAAATTGATATAGCTGTTGGACATGTTTAAATGATAAAATTTGCCTTAACTATGAAGCAAGTCATACTCTGGCCAAAATCCACCTTAAACCAAGTTTACCAAATAAACTCTTGAACAACCAATTGTAATGTTTTTACTCTCTCACAAAGGATAAGAGATCATTTCATTTACACATCTTGGTTTTAAGGATATTCCAAGCATCAAAAACCTCCTACCAAATTTTATGTGTTGACAATAGACTCAATGTAACTCAGTTCAATATCATTTATTTGCTCTACAAAAATAGAGACAAATACCATCATATTTGAATTTTAGTCATACAGCCTTCTTATTCATGTAAGTTTCAGTCCCTGTATAAAAGATTGTGAATCTAACAGTTGAGTATGTTTATTACAACGAAGTTGTGAATTGCAATTTGTATGCATTGTAGTAGAACTTTTCATTAGAGATGAAATAAATTATACGGACACTATTTGTGAATCATTGTGCGACATACATTATAAATATTTGAAAAATTATCACAAAACACACTCACGTTTTGATATGCGTGTTTAATGTTTCATTTTTTCGTGAGTTTCACTTTAATCAGTTTGTGTTTCCATATCCCTGATTTCAGAAAACAGTCAACAAAGTCACTATACAGATACGGATGCATCAATTGTGGGTAAGATTAAACTTTTATTGATGTTAAACGTGAGATGTTTATATATGACATCTCAAGTATATAACAAGTGTTATGAGAAACCACCCGTTTGAAAAATAACCGGAAGTGTAAGCCCAGTTAATGACAAGAAAAATATTGTAGAACTAAGAATAAGACAGAAACTCTGCACAACACGAACGTACTAAAACAAGGGGTCAGAATTATGAGATAATAACACATAGCAACAACATGACAAAAAGATCAATTCTAAGAATAAATGATTAAAAAATCATGACTCACAAGTCAAACCGATAAGAGAAAAGAAAATGATTGACTAAAAATACAACGATGGGAGAACAAGGTCTTACAAAACCACTTAGGAGAGAGCATATGAAAACCACAACTAATTACTCATTTATAATCGCAATGTTTAATTCTAATCAAATGTATTAAATTCGAAAGAAAACGATATAATTTGCAAGATTATATTCTTTCCTATGCAAATAATTGTTTAACCCGAGATAATAGATGATGAAATTAATAAGAAGAATGGACTCAACAGTATATATTAAAATGAATTCGATTGATCTTGAGAAATTTGATTCAAATAAAAATACTTTTACAAAAGATTCTTTTCTATTGCTTTTCAGGGAAGAAACAATTTTTGAGTAAGTATCAGTAAATATCTACTACATCCTATTAAACAATTGATCATTCATTAAGTGTGACCATGAAAATCAAAAACAATATTTTGCTAGTGTATTCAATCGATGACAGTACTATTTTTTTCAGAATTTGTCATTCATTGTTTGTCATGTTTGTGTTTATAAAGACTTTAGAAAGGCATATTAATATTTATCTTGCCTAAAATTGATTAAAAAGTGTGGTTCATTTACTTTCTATCAACTTTTTTAAGGGGAAATTATATCAGACATTATTTAGTAATACAGAAATTTAACCATGAAAAATACACATTTTAAGAATTATTAGTTTTGAAGAAGAAGTTTGTACTGAAATTGTATTTTATTTAGACAAGCTTTCTGTTAAAAGAAAATAACATGTGACAAATCCAGAAATTCACAAAATATGTATCTGATCGTACTGACGACCATCTGTTGACTATCTAAAGAAAGATGATTGCTTTTTAAACCTTATACACAATTTTCTTTATCAAAAGACGCATTAATGATCAACCAGTGAAAAAGCTTAATGTTACAGTTTCGAGTTCATTCAGAAAAAAGTAAAATATATTAAATAAGAAATAACATAACCAACTCATACAAGTCCTAAGTAATAACGGGTAAAAGTATTTCAATTGTTGTTGAGTCATTTAAGTTTGCATTTTGTTTTGTAGACAAGAACCTATAGTGTGAGTATACATGTATAATAGTTTATTAGAATAATATGTAAAACCTATCAATTGAGTTAAAACATATAATTGACTTTACCACTTGCAATTCCAGTTACTGTGACTTGACTGATAGTGTTGCTCTCCACCTATTGCAACTTATTCAAAATTCTGGCCAAATTGCAATTTGTTTTATAAAACCAAACTGTTCAACTGGTCAGAAATTTGAACAAACTGCTGTAGAAAACCACATTCAAGTCGTGAAAGTGCAATGTGGTAAAGTAAAGCATACTTTCAATCCTATAATTTCACTTCAATGTTATTATGAAAAATCAGTATAACAGTTTGTATAGAAATTTTATTATTATTGTCAGGCTAAAGGTGATGGATAGAAATTTTGAATTGCTATAAATATGTCCAGACTAAGGTTTCAAAAATTTTTTTCTTTCGAAAAGTCTTCTATATTCATAAGAATCAGACATCATTTGAATTAAAATATTGTATGTCCAGTAGAATATGTGTGAAATTACAATACTTTTTTAGGAAGTTTCCATGGGAGATAATCAATTTTTCTTTAGAAAAGTCTTCTATATTCAAAAGAATAATGTTTTAGGTTATCTCCCATGGAAACTTATTAACAATGTATTGTAATTTGACATATATTTTACTGAATATAAGATGTTTTAATTCAAATGATGTCTGATTCTTTTGAATATAGAAGACTTTTCGAAAGAAAACTTGTATGTAAGCTTAGTTTGGACATTTTTATAGCGATTCAAATTTTCTATCCATCAACTTTAGCATGCCAATAACAATAAAATTTCTATACAAACTGTTAGACTGATTTTTCATAATAACATTGAAGTGAAATTAAAGTCTGATAGGATTGTAAGTATGCTTTATTTTATCACCTTGCACTTTCACGACTTGACTATGGTTTTCTACAGCAGTTTGTTCAAATTTTTGACCAGTTGATCAGTTTGGTTTTATAAAACAAATTGCAATTTGGGCAGAATTTTGAATAAGTTGCAATAGGTGGAGAGCAACACTAACAGTCAAGTCACAGTAAAACATTAATTTATGTAAACGTGCATACATTTTTTTTATACAAGTTTCTAAGATACTTTAGCAGGTGATTTTAAGATATTTTGAAATCGTATAAGATATATAACACAAATGTAAACTTCTTTGCAATACAACACTTGTCATCTGTTAATGGTTAATGTATAGGAATGTATATATAATCTGTTAGCAAATGTGGTTTCCCACATGAATATTTAGCATCTTTGACATGTCATAGTTACAAGTCATCGTTTTTAGTTATCTTATGATTTGCATTACACAAGTAAATATAGGTCACCTTGACCTATTGCTGTGTTTTTCTTCGATACTCGATTAAGTCAAGAAACATATAACATATGTAATATATTGCATATCATATCAAATATAGCGATTCGTGTTATTGAATCCGATTAAATAATGTCTTATAACAAGTAACAATTAAAGATTCAATAATATGAACAAAACATACTTCATTGTTATTGGTGTTTTGGAACTATTAATAAGGTCGATTTGAGATTGATTCTATTGAAGCTATAGCACTTGTGTACACACTTGATGGTTCTTATTGAATATTTGTCCTATTTAAACTTGTGTTTTCCAAGACATTGTGATAGAGCAAAACTCGAAGGTGAATCAGTTTATATTATAGATTGAAAACGTTATTTTGTAAAGATATATTAAGACCTTTCATCTTGATTTCGAAAAATGCGATTACACGAGGGTCAATCGTAGTGTCTTTCCTAAACATGTTCTCATAGGCTTTTGTTGGTGTTTATTTTTCTCAATAATCAGTTTTCTGTGTAGCATTAACTTTTGTGTGTCTGTACGTGATGTCTATCATTCTTATACATGTAATAAATATATATATATACAGTTATTGTCTCTTTAAAGTTAAACATATTTTCCGTTGTATATTCGTAATGAATGTGAAATTCCTTGCCATACCGAACTATATATCACATTAAACATGATTAATATACATGTATAATGATTAGTATACATGTATAATAGGCTGTGTCTCAGTAAATACTACTAAAAGATGTTCTTATCATGATTAACACAATGAAATTGTGTAATTCAGTGTTTTACAATCCACTGCATCTGATGATGATACTTTTTCTGTGTATTGCCGTGTTCTGATGGGCTGTCTCATTTTCGTAAATACTGTACTTTTTTATCGACATGCATATTAAAAACGTTGTACTTTTTAGTATTACTAGTTTAGTTTTTGCATCTATTTGTCTCGTTTATTTATGTATAACTTTGTAGATTTAAACCAAACCAGACATACTATATTTTAATACAAATTTATATCAACATTCTATCATTTGTAAATATTTGACAGTACTGTTTGTTACATGTACTTGTACTCTTATAGCTTTAAGAAACTGGTAATTTTCATTATACATGATGTGTTTTTTATTTCAGTAGTCAGCGGTAATTATCGCAAATCTTGAAAATCATAAATAATTAACGTTCGATGAATTTCATACACATATATTTTAACACCTAAACATCTTTTATAGGTAATTATTAGCAGGAAATTAATTTCCATGGAGATTTTATGGCCATGCCCCTCATCATGGTTCATTGACTCTGAAATCTGTGCATATGTTGCATATTAAAGTTTTTGTTTGGGTTAGTTAAAATGGAACCACTTATTGATAAGTCAACGGTATTTTGTATTCGGTTTTATCAGCATCTGTAGTTTTTATTTCGATGCAGGTTATTTGACACTGCACCTTTAGTTATGGTTTATTGACTCCCAACGTTTTGCATACTTTACATGTTAACATTTTGCCATTTCAATTCCAAAATTTGCATTATACTATCAAAATTGTCTTGAAGTTCGATATATTTTTTATACTTTTTACATAAAGTTGAGACTTATGTCTTTGGCATCAGTTATTATTCATCCTTTTCAAAACAAACTCTTTTGGATGATGTATTTGATTTTAAAACGATACATATTTTACTGTTATATTGTAATGAAAGCTAGTTGTGTCTGTTATATTGTGTTTTATGTACGACAAAATTAGTATGTTCGAAAATCACTGCATGGATGTATCGTTGTTATCTTCTGAATTTGAAAAAAAAGCTCACAATAATGTGTCACAATTTATAACGTACTATTTTACATAAAGGCAAGACATGTGTCTGTGGCTACAGGGTTTATAACTCTTTTTTTTTTGTAAAAAATTTTGATGATGAAATCTTGGAACTGAAAACAATTAATATTTTACTTTTATATTTTAACATGTTTAACGAAAGCCAATTTTATCTATTTTATTGTGTTTTATGGACGACGAAATTCACTGCATGTATGATGGTGTTCTTATTTTTTTAGAAGATTGTATGGTGATGTTTAACATAATCTTTGTGTGATAATTATACTTAAACTCTTCAAACACACTTTCTTTATTTATGTCTGAAACATTTCAATACAACCATTCTCTTTCTGCATTTTCTGTGCAGAAGCTGAATGAAAACCCTCAAACAAAATGTTCCATTTGCTTAATAGATGAGCACGCGTAAAAATCAACGTTTTAGGCCAATGTTGTCAACACTGAACATGCACATTAGTAAGCATTGGTTGTACAAACAAACTTAAAACCTTTTAATTAACAAAGCAATTAATTTGAAACAGTTTATATATGGTGAATCAATATCAATTCTAAACCGTAAAATGAGAAGCCGTGCCCTCTGTACCACAGATATAAAGATATATATGTATATATTTAGTAATTCGAAAAACAATACCTTTTAACGAATAATATGCAAGTTTTTTCCATAACAATCGAGATCATGTTTATGTTGTATCTTACAGTAGGTTTGGCCAAGCAAACATGTGGTAAGTTTGTATATATATATAAACATAAACGATGTATTTTCCATATAATATAGCATAGCTAAATATTAAACCGATGAAACACACAAAGTCAAAATCAAGGTTTCAAATAAACAGTGACCACTAAGCTTAGTTTGGACATTTTTATAGCGATTCAAAATTTCTATTCATCACCTTTAGCATGCCAATAACAATAAAATTTCTATACAAACTGTTAGACTGATTTTTCATAATAACATTGAAGTGGAATTAAAGTCTGATAGGATTGTAAGTATGCTTTATTTTATCACCTTGCACTTTCACGACTTGACTATGGTTTTCTACAGCAGTTTGTTCAAATTTTTGACCAGTTGATCAGTTTGGTTTTATAAAACAAATTGCAATTTGGGCAGAATTTTGAATAAGTTGCAATAGGTGGAGAGCAACACTAACAGTCAAGTCACAGTAAAACATTAATTTATGTAAACGTGCATACATTTTTTTTATACAAGTTTCTAAGATACTTTAGCAGGTGATTTTAAGATATTTTGAAATCGTATAAGATATATAACACAAATGTAAACTTCTTTCCAATACAACACTTGTCATCTGTTAATGGTTAATGTATAGGAATGTATATATAATCTGTTAGCAAATGTGGTTCCCACATGAATATTTAGCATCTTTGACATGTCATAGTTACAAGTCATCGTTTTTAGTTATCTTATGATTTGCATTACACAAGTAAATATAGGTCACCTTGACCTATTGCTGTGTTTTTCTTCGATACTCGATTAAGTCAAGAAACATATAACATATGTAATATATTGCATATCATATCAAATATAGCGATTCGTGTTATTGAATCCGATTAAATAATGTCTTATAACAAGTAACAATTAAAGATTCAATAATATGAACAAAACATACTTCATTGTTATTGGTGTTTTGGAACTATTAATAAGGTCGATTTGAGATTGATTTTATTGAAGCTATAGCACTTGTGTACACACTTGATGGTTCTTATTGAATATTTGTCCTATTTAAACTTGTGTTTTCCAAGACATTGTGATAGAGCAAAACTCGAAGGTTAATCAGTTTATATTATAGATTGAAAACGTTATTTTGTAAAGATATATTAAGACCTTTCATCTTGATTTCGAAAAATGCGATTACACGAGGGTCAATCGTAGTGTCTTTCCTAAACATGTTCTCATAGGCTTTTGTTGGTGTTTATTTTTCTCAATAATCAGTTTTCTGTGTAGCATTAACTTTTGTGTGTCTGTACGTGATGTCTATCATTCTTATACATGTAATAAATATATATATATACAGTTATTGTCTCTTTAAAGTTAAACATATTTTCCATTGTATATTCGTAATGAATATGAAATTCCTTGCCATACCGAACTATATATCACATTAAACATGATTATTATACATGTATAATGATTAGTATACATGTATAATGATTAGTATACATGTATAATAGGCTGTGTCTCAGTAAATACTACTAAAAGATGTTCTTATCATGATTAACACAATGAAATTGTGTAATTCAGTGTTTTACAATCCACTGCATCTGATGATGATACTTTTTCTGTGTATTGCCGTGTTCTGATGGGCTGTCTCATTTTCGTAAATACTGTACTTTTTTATCGACATGCATATTAAAAACGTTGTACTTTTAGTATTACTAGTTTAGTTTTTGCATCTATTTGTCTCGTTTATTTATGTATAACTTTGTAGATTTAAACCAAACCAGACATACTATATTTTAATACAAATTTATATCAACATTCTATCATTTGTAAATATTTGACAGTACTGTTTGTTACATGTACTTGTACTCTTATAGCTTTAAGAAACTGGTAATTTTCATTATACATGATGTGTTTTTTATTTCAGTAGTCAGCGGTAAGTATCGCAAATCTTGAAAATCATAAATAATTAACGTTCGATGAATTTCATACACATATATTTTAACACCTAAACATCTTTTATAGGTAATTATTAGCAGGAAATTAATTTCCATGGAGATTTTATGGCCATGCCCCTCATCATGGTTCATTGACTCTGAAATCTGTGCATATGTTGCATATTAAAGTTTTTGTTTGGGTTAGTTAAAATGGAACCACTTATTGATAAGTCAACGGTATTTTGTATTCGGTTTTATCAGCATCTGTAGTTTTTATTTCGATGCAGGTTATTTGACACTGCACCTTTAGTCATGGTTTATTGACTCCCAACGTTTTGCATACTTTACATGTTAACATTTTGCCATTTCAATTCCAAAATTTGCATTATACTATCAAAATTGTCTTGAAGTTCGATATATTTTTTATACTTTTTACATAAAGTTGAGACTTATGTCTTTGGCATCAGTTATTATTAATCCTTTTCAAAACAAACTCTTTTGGATGATGTATTTGATTTTAAAACGATACATATTTTACTGTTATATTGTAATGAAAGCTAGTTGTGTCTGTTATATTGTGTTTTATGTACGACAAAATTAGTATGTTCGAAAATCACTGCATGGATGTATCGTTGTTATCTTCTGAATTTGAAGAAAAAGCTCACAATAATGTGTCACAATTTATAACGTACTATTTTACATAAAGGCAAGACATGTGTCTGTGGCTACAGGGTTTATAACTCTTTTTTTTTTGTAAAAAATTTTGATGATGAAATCTTGGAACTGAAAACAATTAATATTTTACTTTTATATTTTAACATGTTTAACGAAAGCCAATTTTATCTATTTTATTGTGTTTTATGGACGACGAAATTCACTGCATGTATGATGGTGTTCTTATTTTTTTAGAAGATTGTATGGTGATGTTTAACATAATCTTTGTGTGATAATTATACTTAAACTCTTCAAACACACTTTCTTTATTTATGTCTGAAACATTTCAATACAACCATTCTCTTTCTGCATTTTCTGTGCAGAAGCTGAATGAAAACCCTCAAACAAAATGTTCCATTTGCTTAATAGATGAGCACGCGTAAAAATCAACGTTTTAGGCCAATGTTGTCAACACTGAACATGCACATTAGTAAGCATTGGTTGTACAAACAAACTTAAAACCTTTTAATTAACAAAGCAATTAATTTGAAACAGTTTATATATGGTGAATCAATATCAATTCTAAACCGTAAAATGAGAAGCCGTGCCCTCTGTACCACAGATATAAAGATATATACGTATATATTTAGTAATTCGAAAAACAATACCTTTTAACGAATAATATGCAAGTTTTTTCCATAACAATTGAGATCATGTTTATGTTGTATCTTACAGTAGGTTTGGCCAAGCAAACATGTGGTAAGTTTGTATATATATATAAACATAAACGATGTACTTTCCATATAATATAGCATAGCTTAATATTAAACCGATGAAACACACAAAGTCAAAATCAAGGTTTCAAATAAACAGTGACCACTAAATTCAGATAATAATCGAACTCTTAGCTTATAACCTATACGTTTCGGTTCTGCTCGGGATTATAGTTTAGGAAGCAATCTTGAAAATGAAACATTCTGATTAGATTTCGATAAATTAGAAAAGCTGATCATGATTAAAGATAAGATGGCTTTACCTTTATATAGAAAAAAGTAGATAATAAATAGAAAATATACAACTCGTTTAGTCATATTGACTTCAGCAATACTGAACTTATGTTAGTTTAATTACACAATAAGAGAGTAAGATTCATTAAGAAGTAACACATTATGTTTTACAACATTAACACGTTTAGCAGTCAGGGGCATTACTTAAACAAGTAACTTTTAAAATTACCTATACAAGTAATGTTGAAAACGAGGCTATATTAAATATTACTTATTTAAGTAACTTTTCTAAATATTATTTTTTTAGGTGTCCAATTATACAGATTTTACTAGCTTTAACAAATTTTTACAGTCATCTGGTTATTTTTCCCATTAAATATAAAATCTAATCCTTCTGAAACACTAATTGCCTTTCTGACGCACTTATCTTTCATATCGACGCTCCTGGGTCAAAGATTGGTCTCTTGGGACTATTAAAATATCATTTTCCTTGAAAATCTTGAAAGTAGACAGATATAAATAGATAGAAACTTGTGATTTAATTAAGACTTGAAGTTATTTATAATTTGTGACCCAAAACAATTAAATATATTCCTTAAATAAGTGTTATTACTGATTCTTTCAAAGATGTATAAAATAACTTATTCAAGTAATATTTTTGTCTTTATTTTTAAAGTAACCCTTTACCACTATACTCCACTCAAATTTAGTAAATTCTTATATTTATGATATAAAATGATGTAAAAATTCATGAAAACTACATAAAGTCCATGCTTCTATTGAAATTTAAAATAACTCTATTGAGTAATTTTATGATCTTTAAAAACAAAAATTACCTATATAAGTAACTAAAAAAAATAACTTGTTTAAGTAACGCCCCTGACTGTTTAGGGACGTTTACATCACAAAGGAAAAAATGAAGGATACAACATAATTTTGTTTTCAGTGGAAAACTATAAGTACGTTTTTTTCTTCATGATACAAGCTTAATTTATAAATCTGAATGAAATGTTATACGTTATTAGAGTGGCAAATTATGACGTGAATGAAATATTTTACTTCATTTATACCTTTTAATATTCCCATATTTCAGCGAATGTTCGAGTTGTGGGTAAGTTTATTTTATGTTTGTGTGTATTCGCCTTTCCTTTCTTTATTTATCTTTGTTTTTGTTTTCCTTTCCGTTTGTTTTGCTATGTTTGTTTTATGTCCAACCTGTTATTGTTGTATGTAATGTCTTATAATAATGCTATTGTTTTTGATGATTCCTGTCGTATATTTGAATTAATTCATAGTTTTTCATGTTAAATAATACTTTCTATTCCAGCGCAGCGTAAATAACAACCATAAACAAATTGGTACATTGTTTTCCGTGCGTATAACAAATAGTAGTTTATTCAGATGGTGACACGAATCTTTAACAAATCTGAAATATGTATTTATCATAGAAAAAGAAATGCAATTGTGCTTTGGAAAACCGTTATTTCCAAACGTTTTCTATGAGGAATTTTATTTTAGCATTGAGTTTGACATTTTGATCAATATAATTAGATACCTTTAAATTCATTAAAAATAAAATTTCTAGGATGTCCCGATTAAACAATACACACCAACTTCGGGTAAAGGCATTCATGAATCATGCGTACTGCGAATAATTTAACATTGTATTTATAGAGGTGAAACCAAAATATCATTATATTAAAGAAGAGGGACGAAAGATACCAGAGGGACAGTCAAACTCATAGATCGAAAACAAACTGACAACGCCATGGCCAAAAATAAAAAGACAAACAGAAAAATAATAGTACAGATGACACAACATAGAAAACCAAAGACTAAGCAACACGAACCCTACCAAAAAAAAAGGGTGATCTCAGGTGCTCCGGAAGGGTAGGCAGATCCTGCTCCACATGTGGCACCTGTCGTGTTGCTTATTTTATTACACATCCGGTAAATAGTCTAAATTAACTTGTTAACACAATAAAGTATACATGTAAAAATGGTCAGTAAGCACATGGTGTTTATGAAAAATTTATTATGGATTGGTGAAGTAGACTTAACAAATTGTTTTTGCATAAAACAGTTGATAGACCGATGTCAATACAAACTTATATATTGAAACACTACACTGGTGGTGGAAAAACGTCCTTGACAGGTTTTGAAAATGATTTAAGCTATTTGTTTAAAAAATAACAAGAAAGCACAGATATAAAAATATCAAACCAGACATCCCAAAATAAGCATTTAATGTTAAAGCGTTTTATGTACTTCACCAGAACAAAATCATCAAGCTACTGTCGTTGTTTATAAATACAATGTATCTGCTGGTAAATGATAGCAATATGCTACTTTTTCTATATAACTTATAAGGAATGTGGATTTTGGAAATTTTTAAACAAACATTAAATATTAGTATCTATGTATATCCTAATATGTAATCATATATTTCAGATATCCAACATTGTTTTTGTTCAGTGGATAGAAGTAACAGAAAAAATAATTAACAAGGAAAATCTACATAACAATTGAATGGATTATCTCTTCTAATTATCAATAAATGGTAATCCTTCTGACAGTATTTGAATCTTTATTCAAGTATATCTGTGTACAAGGATTACAAAACCTTTAGAAAATATGCAGTAAATTGGACTTTATCAGTCTCAATCGGATATATATTATTTCCGGTGAGATGCATGTAAATAATTCGGAATTGATATTTGACATAATAATTATAAAACTGTACGGAATATACTAATAATTAAGTTGGTGTTGTTCTTGTACTTCAAGTATATCTAACCGTTTTGACTTTGCCGAGGTCATTTACTTTATTTTAGAAACAAAATGGTTTCTAGAAACCAAAATTTTCCAACAGCCATTTTTTTAAACTTTAAAAGAAAATGTCGCTCTTTGATAATACAGTATTCTTACGTCGAGTTTAGCATTTGTCAGGTGGGATTCCTCTGACCTTAACCTCATTTTCCTGGTTCATTGGTCAATGTGTAGTTTTTGTTAATAGATCCGTCACTAAATTAATATGAGTATTATTTCACCTGTTTTTGATAAATGTAGTGAATGTAATATGTACATATCTGTATTTTGTTAAGGTTCGTATGAACTCGACCTTTTTTGTTATGGTTCATATTCCTAAATTCGTTCCTTTAATTATTTAACAGTATGAATGAACAAATGGCTTTTAAGTTTTACTGAAATGCAGTAGACCATTTATGGCTCTTTCCTATTTACAAATTATTTAATAGGAAATTAATAAAGAAATGAAGGAACACGGAAATCTTAACTCACTGCATAGTTCAAATTGATTTGCCTAGAATCAACAAAATATAATTATGCAGATGTGCCAAACGATATTTAACCAGTTATGCTTAGATTACGTTCAATGAGATATTAAACGTAAACACATACTAGGGCAGAGCACAGCAGGAGAAGAGAAAAAAACGACGTCTAACGTTCAAAATCTGGAATTAAAAGGGGAATTTTTCTTTTTTTTTATGTTGTATAAAGTATTCTGTGTCATTCTAAGATATACAAATTTTGAAACAACACTATTATTGCTGTTATTACCACTTTACGTACAGTGAGTTCGCTATGAATAAGTTCCACTTTATTCTAAATATTTGATTATCTTTAGGTTGCACTTTGTAAATACAGCTGTTTCATAAACCACGCCTCTTTTGAGGAGATATATAATATTCATAGATATTCTGTTGTGTTTACGTACTGGTTCCCAGATATGATCTCTATGTTTTATCTCATAGCGAAATAATTTTGAAATGTTTCCAGTATAAAACACATAGTAGCGGCGAAAACTGAATTCTGAGGGACCCTCAAAGTGGAGGTAGGGGTTGTACAGAATTTTAGTATAAGTTTAAACTCTTAGAAGTTCGGGCATATAAATTTTGAAAATATGCCGCACAGCCCAATGTTTCGACCTTTTGTTTGTTGGGGTGTTTTTGTCCTGTCGATAACCCAAAAGTAAACCGGAACACCTGAATTTGCTTTTTTTCTGACCGCGGAAAAAATAAAAATACAAGCTAGAAAAACAAAAATACCTCAATAAAACTAACAATAGTATGTTCTATCCTAAATATGTACTAAATTTTCCAAATTCACAGAAACAGCAGAACAAGTTGGCAAATTTGAGACCCCAGTGGCAAAAAACAGAGAAAAATGTCTACCCTCTGGGTCATAAAACAGATAATTTAACCTATATGCTATGATTTTATTATTTTAAAAGTCCTTTGTATAAAAAAACAATAACTGTGCTTGGAAGTTGTGCAAAGAAAAACAGATGTGAATTCATACATCAGACTGGTAACTTCATACATACAATTTTTTGCAAATATGGCTTTGTTTAACACTTCTAGATCATATATCAGCTAAAGTATGTTAGATATAAGGTTCGATATGATATTGTTGTGACAAGATTTCTAAACTGACCATTCGAGGCAGAAGTTGTGAAATTTTATTGACAAATAGGCATACAGCAAGATGTGGACTGGAGACAGAAGCAGGAATGGATACTTTATATAATCTTGAATGTTGGAATGATTAACTACTTAACGTTACATTTATAGTATTCTGAAATGCTTTCAATTTGTTATCAGAATAGTTTCAAACAGGTTCTAGCCATTTCATGTCAGCAAACATGCACATAGGGTAATCTGACAATAGGTAAAGTCTTGTTTTCAAATTCTTTAAAAATTGAAACAGGGGTGGGGGTATAAAATGTACTGTAAAAAAATGTTAGAGTATATGCAGTGATTTCTTTAAGGCTATAATTCTGATAAATAGTATTGTTGTGAGAAAAAGTGTTTTTCAAGAGTTTTCTATTTGAATAAGTGTAAGTATAGGTTGCACTTTGTAAATACAGCTGTTTCATAAGACACGCCTCTTTTGGGGAGATATATAATATTGATAGATATTCTGTTTTGTTAAGGTATTGGTTCCAATATATGATCTCTATGTTTCATCTCATTGAGAAATAACTTGGGAATGTTACCAGTATAAAAACACATGGTAGCAACGAAAATTGAATTCTGAGGGACCTTCAAAGTGAAGGTAGGGGTTGTACAGAATTTTATTATAATTTTAAACTCTTAGAAGATCGGGGCATATACATGTTAAAAATATGCCGCACAGCCTTATGTTTTTAACTTTGAATCAAAAAGTAGTGCATATCAACTTTCCGTTCTAGGATATAATTTTTCACGAATCTTCAAAGTAAAAGTGGCACAGCTTTAGCCGCAAAGGGAGTTCCTATGGGAAATTGCATTGTCTATATTTACAGAAATGCAATCTTAAGCAAATATATCATCATAGTAATGGTATTTGTAATTAAAGTTATCAATTTAAAGGAATTCAGACGGACTTGAATGATTTTTTTCTATAAACTGTGATTCATTACAAAATACCGGAATGCGTCAATTATCAAACATACTCAATTGGTACCAACAGGAATATATGAAACCTATAAATACATTTAACTGCCGAAACGTACACACATTTTGTATAGCACACAAGGTACATCAATTCCTCACACTCAGATCATCTCATCATATTGAACACATGTGTATCTTGCATCTAACGGATCAAGGCTTTAACCCACTACAATATTTATGTGGTTTTCCAAGGTCAGGGGCGTGTAACGCACCACCCACTGTTACTATTGTGGTGTCTCAAATTTGTTTTGTTTTGGTGTTTTGTACAAAAATAAGGCCATTGGTTTTCTGATTTGAACAGTTTTACATAATTTTTTTGTGGAGCCTTTTAAAGCCAGCAAATCATTATTGACATTGCTCTTTGGTGAAAGGTTTACAGCAATGTTCGATGTTTCCCATTCTGATGTTGTCTGGTATATACGATGAGTAAATATTCAAGTTTTTTAACATTGGATAGGAATATCAACGAAGCAATATCTCATACTTTGAGATAATGTTCCTCCTTTTATTGACCTAGTACAATTTGTCCTATTGCATAACCAATTGTTTGTATTTTCTTGTAAAATATTAATACCTGAACAGTATATTTCAAATTGTAATCGGATACAAGTTCAATTATCTTTCAATTGTTGTTTTCTTTCCATCCTGTTGTAGCTGCTATTGAATTTATGTTTGTTATGACAAGACGACATTCTTTTCTCTTTTATTTAAGATTCAATATTTGCTGTATTATGTTTGTGCTATGTGAAATGAAATATTGTATACCCGTACAATGAATTTGTAGATGATAATAGATTGCTGTTAAACTTCAAATGACAAATCAAATGCATATTCCCAACAAGAATATGTATTGCGATACAACTATGAATCTTGCTTTGTACAAAACCGACGCATTGAGACACATTTACTACGTGCTAGTTCACATGGTAACAGCCCGCAGGAAGACATTCTCCTCTTTCGGATTTTTTTTTCTGATTCCGAGCTTCGAACATTTGAATAAATACCCGAAAACAAAACCACAGACCACAGACATAGTCTCCTTTGTAACGGATGACATTTCAGCCATCGTATTACTAAAATTTTAAGATTTTCTATATGGTTGTTTTTAAATATCTTGAATGTCTTGTTCTTATGTTTTTGTGATTGATTTGTGTTATGAATGTGATCAAAATGAGTTTTTCGAAATAGAAATAAACTTATAACAAGGATTGGTGCTTTGACGCCTCTTTTCTGGATTGACCGTTTGAATGCTGGAGATGTTTTTACTAGTTCAGCGAGGTAAAATGGGCACTTAAAAATATCCAACTAAGGTAACATATTTCCTTAAGAAGTTACGCTTACGAATATTGTTAAACAAAACAGTAACTAAAATCGATTAGTTAAGGTGGATCATCAGTATATATTTCCTCAGATAGAATTTTCTTATACTTTGTCAAAATGAAGATTGTATTATACTTTTCCATAAATATAATAAGAAGTGTGGGACATCGTGCTATTTTTCAAGCAACAGGTTGTGCAAAATTGCCTAAATATTCATAGATTGTTCATAAAACACATTTTTTGTGAATAAAAAGAAATATATGAGATAGAATTTTGAAAACAAATATGAGAAGATAGGTTATATAATATGCTTTAAGAAAATGAAAAATGATGCCATCGAACTTTTTTTCTTGCTAAAAGTAAAAATAAAATAAAATCACTATCATTCTAGTATAAAACGTTTATTATAAGAGTTATCTTCCCTTAAATGGCTAGGTTGAAAAATTGATTATAAAAAAACACAAAAAATTTGGTATTTGTTTTAACATTTTGAATAATTCAATAAATCACTAATTAGTCTTTATACAAATAAAAAGTCTTACACATAAATTGCAAATCTGTCTCAAATTTGCAGATTTAGGCAAAGAACTAGACCGATTGTGTACTGCTGTTGTACAATCCAAAATGGCGATATTCAGTGAATCCATCTTAACCTTCATCATGTATGCAAAGTCTGATTATTGTATGTTACAGTCTAACCATCTTCAGGATAGGAACTTTGGTAAATCAATTGATTGTGTCGTAATACATCTTTCATCAATAACGAAAAACTGAATAGTTTTGCCTAGTCAGCTCCTTGAATCATTTAAACATTTGATTTTATTGATCCAGTATAAACTGCTAGTAAATAAATCGGTTATATTTCATCGATTGATCAAAATTCTTTACGAGTGATAAGAAAATCTAACAGAACAAAGTGAAAGGTCTCATTTCTTTTGGATTGAAACAAGTTATAAAGGTAAACAAATGACATTTAT